GAGGAATTCGTATTAGTACTAGTTTTTGACGAGTCAGATCTGGAAAGAAACTTTTGGAACACGTACGAGGACAAACACTGAGATAATCAAAAGCCAGATCTAATCTATTTTTAGCAGGTGATTTTCGGGAAAAAAAAATACGCAAATTACATGGAAGCGCAGCAATGTACCTCGAGTTAAGGCCGATCCCAGGCAAATAAAGATAATTGCCATAAGAAGATAGCTTCTGTGATGTTGGACCTTGTATTCCATCTTGTCATGTAGCTTAACTTCAGCACATCATTCACCTGTACGAACAACACGTAAACAAACTTTACCAAGGCAATTTATTTGCGGTCAGTCAGAAAACAGGGCTATATCGCCAGACGTGGCAGTAGTTATCAATTCAACGTCGTGATGTTAGGAAACGGTGAAGTATCAATTTTGGGGGCCTTGCTTTTGAGGGTGGAAAATTTTCATATACTAATTGATAAAACTCTTTTAGTCAGAGTCCTCTCAGAAACAAAAAACAAGCTTAGAAGGAAGAAGATTCTATGAAGAAGGACAATACAAACGTCAAAGCCAAGCTAAATTATTCATTAGTCCTTTCGATGATAAATTATGCAGGAACTACTTGCTGTACTCTCGATGTTTTACGTCCAATCATGGCAAAGTTTGTTTAATTTGCCTTTGAAAGTTAGTCATTTATACTGCGTAAAATATAAACAAAATGCAGCGATACTGCACAAGTAGAGTTTCTCCACAGCACGAACATTACCTTCCTAGCTTTGTTTTTCATTGATTTTAATTAATTCCTTGCTCACAATGCAATGCTTATTCTTCGTACACGGGTATTAACATCAATAATCTCGTTATGCACAAATTGCAAACTGTATGCACTTAATTAATGGTACCCATGTCACCTTTCTTGTAAATTTTTGAATAAAAGAAAATGTTTTCTTTGTTGATATTTGAGAAAAGATCCCAACGATATTTTTATTTCACAAATAACTTTTTCATGTCAACATTTCGTACGATTGTGGAATAATTCAATAGATCGTTTTCCATGTGTTTATGTCGCAAAGCAAGAACCAATATTTTTAAAAACACAGGTTTCATATCAATTAACATACTCGTGATAATTTGAGAAATTACCGTGAAATGTTTCCGATCAAAAATGTATTTTCTTGTCTCCGGAGCTTATAAAAAACTGTTGGTGAATTCCAGAATCGAGTGGTTAACTTGGGAAGAGAGCGAGGTTTTAGGCTGCTCCGTATTATGATGAAGAAACGTTTTTAAGGGAAGCAGCACTTCAAATTTTGATCGAAATTAAGCCTGGAATTACTTTCCAAGAGGTGTTGATGTGCCACAAACGACATCGACCGAAATTATGCTTAAAAAGTCACACCCTTGTATATCACCAACCTCTGTTTCTTTACTTTTGAGGGTTTTGTTTATTGCTTCATGAGATATTTAGGAAAAGGAAGCTCACAGGTATTGCAAACTTGTTTCGACTGCACGAATATTTTCATTTAAAGGAAGTATTGTCCCCGTTGCTTAAAATGTTAGGTTTCTAGAGCAACGGATATTCCCGCAGAAACCACCGGTTTCAGCATTAACATGTTGTTGATTCAACTGCATGTTAATGTTCGAAAGAAACGAAATGACAGGTGAGTTGTATTGACAGCATTCTTTCCGCTACTTTAAACCGAAGGGCATGTCTTGATCTTCATTTCTTTGTCTCGTACTCGATCATTCACTAAAGTTTACAGGAGTTGACTTCGAAATCCTCATTAGTGCCGCATCCTTTGAGTGGTTGAATAGTTAGAGTCGTCTAATCCCTAACAATAAGAGAGCTTTAGGTTGAGAGAAGACTTTTCAGAAGTCAATTTCCTGAGAAAAATAGCTGGACACATTATACTTGACGTCTTTCCGAATGCAGCTTCATCTTTAAGCCAATTTTTTCGCGCTTCTAGTTTGAATACTGAGCTGCAAATATCACATGTACGACGTAAACGTCCCTAAGATTGTATTGCGCTGTTGACAATCGTGGATCTTGAATACATTGTTATATACTTATTGACTGACTTAACTGAAGAGCTGGAGAGGAAAATATTTCCTCGAGGTGAGANTGAAATTAGGAGACTAGATTCTATAGCATGTTTTAAAAGAACATGTTTGCCACGATTTTTAAGGAACAACAATGTTTGCATCATTTTACTATTTAATAATATCTTCTTAATTGAATCTTGTCTTATTTTAAATGAACATTTTAAATGCTTATTTTAAATGTTTACATATTTTAGCTTACATATTTATCTGATTGTATATAGTTGTGTTTCTTATTTCAATTTTTTAAGAAGATGATAATGGCCCACCAGCATCAACTGATTTCTGTACAGAACAGTACCCGGGGCAAGTGGTATTGTGACTTTTGCATAAGAAATGGTAAGAACTTAAATGAAGAGTTCTCCTATCGGTGCCGCAGTTGCAGCTTTGACCTATGTCTTGACTGCAATCAGCCACGATACCACCCTAGCCATGAACATCAACTTCAAGTGGTAGATGTCTCTTGTATCGGCAACAGCTGGTCTTGTGGCATCTGCAAACGTGACAAAACCAAAGAAAAGTAAGTTTTTGGTTTGTTTAATCAGACAACGTATTTTTAGCATGGGTATTCCAAGTTTATTGCCAAACGGATCTAAAGATGAATTACTGGATGAACTCAGCTGGCTTCCAGTTGACAAAATGCTCAAATTCAGAGACGCTGTTATAGCTTATAAGTGCGTCAACAATTTAGCTCCTGAATATCTATGTGCTAAGTTCAAAAAACGATCTTCTGTACATAATCGCATAACTCGTAATAATGAGAAGATTGACAT